GAAGTCAAACCACACCTTCCTGTGAGCCTGCTAGCACACAGGCTAGGAGACAAGAAGAGCAATACTGCACAATCCCCACTCTGTCAAGCAACCTACTGATTCAGAGGAACTCAGGCTGAGATGATAGCAACTGAAGAAAAAAAAAAAAGGAAAAAACTAACAGTGTTTGTATTGCTTGATTGATAGTGCGGTACTAAAGCTAGTAGTGTTAGCATCTCTTTGGAGGAAAACAATATGGATTACAGCAATGGTAGGGGATTTCCTTCTGTCTTAGTTTTGAAATCCAATGTTTTGTTCTGTTTTATTGTTTGGTTTTATTATTGTTTTTAGTAACCTGAGCAACTATTTTTAAGATAACAATATGCAATATAACAATCATTGTTAAATTTCTCTCATCTTGTTTTGGAATCCTGTATTGCTATTCTTTTTGATTTGTGGTTGTTTTGTTGTCATTTTGTTTCTGTTGTTGTTATGGCTTTGGTTTGCTTGTTTCTTGATTTTCCTGTTTCTTTTAAAAAATCAGTGGAACATAATGGAGGATACAGAAACAAGTACAGGCAATTCAGATATCTGATCTTTGACAAAGGAGGCAAAAAATATGCTGAAATATGCTGGAGGAAGGTCAGCCTCTTCAACAGATAGTACTAAGGAAATTGTTCACACACATGAAAACATTGAATCTTAATGCTAACACAAGAGGGAGCCCCACAACCACAGAACTAGGATTGTTGCCATGGAAAATCAATGTCAAAGATCAAGCTCACCTCCCATCCAAAGTTATTGTGAGAACTGTACCCCTGGAACATCTCTATAGAAATAACTGTGCTTAGATCGTGAAAGTGCTAGAGATTCTGCACAGATCTTTCTGCATATAAGTACATGTTGACCCAGCTAACAGTAGTCATTTCAAGCTACTGAAGGCAGACTTCAACTTTTGTCAAAAACATTGACTTGTTCAAAGTAGCAACCTTTATTGGAACAGAAATACCCACACCAAGGCTAGCTCCAGAAAATCAAACAGATGGATATAAAGCTAAATGCCTATTCCAAGTTCTCCTGAGCTTTGTCCTAAGATCCTAGGCTTTATCAACCTGAATTCATCCTAGTGTAAGTGTGGTCTGCTCCAAGAAAAGTTGCTACTTTTTTTTAACTTGTCAGTGATTTTGTCAAAATACCTGAATAGGCTGACAGTTGAAGTATGCATTGAACTTGACTCAATCAAATATACACTTCCCCATTCTGTGCATTTATATGTTGTACATTGGTAATATGCATCAACACGCCAAGCTGTTTCAGAGTGTGCTTCCCACAGAAAATAATAAGCAGGAGCTCAAAAGATGTTCATGCAAAGTGGATGAGAACTCTAACCAGATATTATAAAAAGAGCTAAAAGAAATCTGAATGATAGGAAACATGAAATAGTAAAAAAGATCAGAATTTAAAGAATTAAGTCATGAGTAACTGGGGAAGAAAAGGTTTGAAAGTCGGCGATAAATCCGGAAGAAATTAGAAGTGAGAAAAACAATTTCATAAATAAAATCTAAGCAGGGAGGTGCAGAAGAGTGAACAAAGCCAAAACAGAAAAAATGAAATATAAAAAGGGTAAAAAATAATAATAACACTAGTGAATATATTCTCTTTAATTTTTTGTGATTAAGGTTAAAACTATCCAAATATTAATGCATGAAAAAGCCAGGAAAATCATCTCTGTTGGAGAGAAAGGAATAGAAAATGAAGTGTTTACAATACTCTATTTTTTATCTATTGATTGGTAATTAAGTTCTAATTCATTGATATCTCCATTGTGATTTTATACTTTGTTTTATTGGAAAAAAGGGCTTATATTAGCACAATGTTTCTAGATAAAATATATTTTATGTGAAGATGTTATTGCTTTATACTCTGAATTTTTTATTTCTCAAAAATATTTTATTCTTTTATGTAGACATCTGTGTTGTATTCACAATTCTTCAAATGTTTAGCAAGGCATATATATGATATCACACATATTCCAGATCATAGCGCTAAAAATCTTGTTTGGGAGCCCTATGTGCCTGGGAAGTATTTGAGAACAAACACTTCCATGTAGAAGAATCACAGAAAACAATGTTTTTCATTTTACTGAGATAATCTCTAACTTCCATCAGTTCTGCAGAATACGGTCTTCTTGTTTCTTCCCTTGGAAGCCTGGCAGTCACCACAAAGCTGAATACCAGGGAAAAAACTGGTGATACTCCATGCTGTGAAAGCACTAGCAATCCTCAACTTTGAATGTAGCTTCTCACAATTGCCCTTGGTTCTCCTATGTGTCTCCAACACAAAACATCCCTAGTATAATTTCCATAAAAGGAAATCTCCATTTTTATCTGGGCATAGAAGAATACAGAACAATGCCTTTCTAGTAGAAAACTGTGGTCTACTGCTGATCTGTGCAATTCTTTTTGCTAGATGATGAAATGCACTGTAAATGAAAAGCAATTGTCATAAAATTTGATATTTCTAAGACACACTGGCACACAATTAGTAGACACATCTTTTGGAACGGAGTACAAAATTGTTAATATTTTTCAAATTTCTATTAATCCGTGTTTTGTTTTTTAGTATAGTTTTTTTTGACAGATTAAATCATATATATTTATTGCTGCAACAGTGTTTCCATGCATATACACAATGAGATGACTGAATCTAACAAAGGCATCACTTCACATAGTTATCACGTACTAGTGAGAACACTTGATGCCCTCTCTCCTAGCAGCCTGCAGGTCGTTCTTTTTATATTATACTAAAACAAAGTAAAGTTGGGTTCCTTATTTAGACACTAAACCAAAGTAGGTGACCCAATTGTAGGCAAATGTCCAGATGTACATGTGTGTTGGGGAGTAGGTTGCAATCTGTTTGTTCTTCCATTTTTTTCACAGGTGTGTTTTGAACTTTTTTCTTGTGCTTAGAACTCTGTAAATCATCCTAGCATTTGTTTTTATAATTGTTTTCTGTTTCTTTGTATCCTCCTCTCTTTTGACCTCATTGATGAGCACTGTTATTTTTCCCTGCACACTATCATCATTAGTGTGTTTAGAGATAGATTATGTATAAGTTAAAGTGGCAAAAGTACAGTTTACCACTTATAAAGAAGACTGTATAATAATTTCATAAATCAATATTGCTATAAATATAATGAAAAGCCAATAAACACAATACCAGAAATTACTGAAATACCAGCAATGGAATATCAATAAAAGTATACATTTTGTTCCATAAAAAGCTATTTTGTAATAATTGAGTGTTGGACCTGTATTTGAGGAAAAGAGAAAGAGCTGACTAACAGTGAATTTGGAAACTCGTGAATGCTTCAATTATTTAACTAGTAAAAACAGACTGCTTTAATTACTTATCTAGTAAAAACAAACTGTAAATGAAATGTTCTCATCTAAGAATTGAAGAAAAGGAGACAAAATTAGAAATGGATGTGCTATGTGTCCAATCTAAAAAGCATTATTTATAACCTCATACACTTTAATTTGAAAGTCTAACAATAACAAAGGAGGATACTGTTATACTACATCCTGAAAAAGGAAACCACACATATAATGCTGATTTTAGCTTTACTCATGATACTTTACAAGATGTATTGGTGAACTAGAACAGTCTATCTAGAGGACTGCACCCAGCTTCAAGTGAGGTGAGTACAAATCACAGAAGTAAATTCAGATTATCATCATAACTGTCCCAAACATCTGCAATCCTGCATTCACCACATGACATAATGCCGATTCTATGAAAATCTCAGGGGCAGACTTAACTGAAACAAGGAGAAATAATACATTGAATGAAGCAGAAATGTGTTTTGTAGAATCATTAATGTTTAATCAGAAGAAGCTGATTTCCCTCAGTGATATCAGTGAAGGAAATTATACACAAGCAAGAGGTGGGGTCAGATGACAACCGGAGCCCTTCTCTTTGTTACACAGTGGAATGATAAACTTGGAGCTGGGTAGTTACTTCTTCTTAGTAAGTTCAGCGTGGAAATCTATACCATAAGCCAAGATGAGTCAGGGTGTTTGATTCTTCTTTTCCATGTATTTATGCAACATACTTTCTAATTTATGTAACAAGTAACTTAAAGAAGTGGTCAGGAAAGGCCTAAGAACTTTCTAGAGATTCTCCATGAAATAAAGTTTTAGCAGCAATGACTAGAACCTTCTTTAATATAAGCTTTACATTTATGCAATTTTGTGCTATTAGACACAAAAAAGCTAAGAAATACATAAGGAATTAATCCTATTTTCATAAATTAAAATTTAGGTGCAGAAAAAAATAATAGTTTAAATCATTACTTAAGTAAAGTCCAATAATTTCTTTTGTTGTTGTTGCTTGATTTTTTTTTGTTTGTTTGTTTTGGTTTTTTTTGTTTTTTTGAATCGGGGTCTCACTATGTAATTGAGGCTGGCCTTGAACCATCAGATAGACTAACTTTAAATTTACAGTGATTTTCTTGTCTGAGTTCTGACTGAGTTCTAATATTATAGAAGTGTACCACAACACCCGAGAAAGTCCAGTTTTTAAGTCATCTAATTACTAGTATGGTAACACTGTTCCCTGACATGCTGTAATACCAGATGAAAGTCAGAATCATACTGGATACCTCATTTTAAACTGCAGATCGGATGGGATGCACATTGTAATAAGTGTACGGTAAGTGAGACAGAAAAAGACAAATATAAGCAAAGAAATGAAGGCTATAAAGACCTTTTGAGAAACTATAAACCTAGAGAAAGAAGAAGAGAAATTTCTTTTATTGCCTCTTACCTTATGATCTTTGTCATAATGCTGAGAACATAATATTAATATCCCTGATTTACATAGGAAGACATCAAGTTCTAAAATGTTAAACAGCTAAAATGTCAAGGCCACACAGAGAGATAGACTATACTCTCCCATGATTTAAATAATCTCAGACACAACTATCCCTAATGTGTAAGTCCTGAGGAAAAGTGTTCTGATTATAAAGTCTTAAAAGAAAACCCAGTTTTGCCAATCACTTTCTGAATGGCCAATTGTACATCTTTGTTTCTGAGGCTGTATACCATGGGGTTCAACAGTGGGGTGATGATGGTATAGGTCACCGTCACCAGCCTGTCTTTGCCTGATGTATATTTGGATGAGGGTCGCAGGTAGACAAAGGATGCACAGCCATAATGGACAATGACCACAATGAGATGGGACGCACAGGTGGAGAAGGCTTTTCTCTTACCTTCAGCTGATGGAATCTTCATGATGGTGTGAACAATGAAGCTATAAGATATACAGATAAAGATCAATGGGACAACAAGCACAAGGACCCCACAGGTGAAGATGATCAATTCATTAACATAGGTTTCAGCACAGGCAAGACGGATAACAGGTGAAATATCACAGAAGTAGTGATTGACTTTGTTGGGACCGCAGAAAGGGAGGCTGAATACCAAAGTTGTTCCCACCAGAGATATTAGAAAGCCACTAACAATACATGCTGCTGCCAGCTGTCCACACACTCTCCAGCTCATGAGAAGAGCATAATGCAATGGCTGGCAGATGGCAGCATAGCGATCATAACCCATCACTCCCAGAAGCAGGCAATTGCTGACAGCAAATCCGAGGAAGAAGAACATCTGAGTTGCACAGCTGATAAAGGAGAGTGTCCTCAGTACAGACAGCAGGTTGATAAGCATCTTGGGCAGGATGACGATTGTATAGAAGATCTCAGAAGTGGAGAGAATACCTAGAAAGAAGTACATGGGCGTGTGGAGGCTGTGATCCAAGCGAATGACTGAGATGATTGTGATGTTTCCACTCAAGATGATCAGATAGAGGCTGAGAAAGGCCACAAAGAGGACAAGCTGCAGCTCCCCGAGGCTGGAAAAACCCAGCAATAGGAATTCAGTGACAAAGGAGGAATTGGCCATGGAGAGTTGATTCCACAGAATAAAGTCAATATGGTCAGATCTTGAGGCTTTGAAAGTAAGGAATCAGAGATTTACTCTTGTAAATTAGCTATGCCAGCCTTGTTTAAAGAAGCAACAATAGAAATGGGAGGGATAGAAAAAGGACTGTAAATAACCCAGAGATTATTCTAATTTGATGTGTACCTGAACTGCTATTTTTCTGTCTCTGACTTTAGTAGTGAAAATCAGAGAAGTGCTGATGTGAAAATACACAATTATTGATTTAAATAAACCTATTATCCTTATATACAGTCTTTACTTGATTTCTCTAGTGTTATAATCCTCAAAAACCCTGTCTATGTTAATGATTATTTTATCATTTTATCCCGATTGCTTTATATGAAGCAGCACACACATCCAAGGAGTCACCCTCCCCCATATGCACATCGTTTTTATTCAACTCATTCATCTGGAAAACATCCATCAATCTGTCTTTGTAGCTTTTGTCCCTAAAGAACACAGTTCTCTTTCACAAATAATTATCTGCCTTTTCTAAGAAGTCCTCTATTGAAATCAATTTGTCTTAAACTACTGTTGTTGTTTTAGAACTAGCTTTATGATTCCTCCACAAACTCTTATCAGATGTTAAATGTTATTTCTCTTTACAGAAAACATATAGATAGCATAATGTAGTATTTCATCAGCACTCATCAGTTGTCCGATTTTGTTACATGTCTTACCTTTGGCATACCTTACTCAAGGACCAAAAACTAACATTTCCAGGATCTGTCTGTGAATTCATGAATGGGGAGACTCAAATACTATACCTACACCGAGGTCTCTGATATAGTTATTTCTCTTGATCAATTTTATATATTTTAATGAGAACATTCTTGTCCCTTCTTAAATCCTACCCCAATGCACATTGTTCCTTTACCTGGTTTCCCTATACAAATATAAAGTTTCACAGTGTTCTTATTCAAACTGTAAATTTCTAAGAAATATTTAAGCTCATTGTTTTCTATTCCTCAGTATACATCTTTTTTCTGAAATATCTCTAGAATTGTTTCCTTGCTTTGTGCAAGAAGTGAGCTATTACCTGTACTGTACAACTAACTCCTTAGATTATCTATTCTCACTCAGAATCATCCACTTCAATAGTGTAGAGTTGATTTTGTACTGGAAAGGTTCTATAGAAACAAAAACAAATGAATCTCAATTGTCTACAAGACATTCTAGGTTCCACATAATTTTTGCTAATGTTCCTTTCTCCTAATACAAGACTAGTTTTGATTCCTCTACATATATTGATTCACGGACATTATAGAATTTAAAAATTCTGAGCAGTAATATTACTTCCTGCACTAATCCCAACATTTAGAAGTAATCCATGCCTTATATTTTTTCTTTCATTTTTGTGGCCATACTCATGAAATCCTTCCTACGATTTCACAGTCATATATATCACATTATCTGAATTTCTCCAGAAATCATTACAATCATATTCATTTTACTATTATCATGTTTGTCAATGATTTACACATAATAACTTGCTTCAAAGATTTTTTATTCTAAAATTTCAAAGAAGATAATTAATATTTTATGTTAGATTACTGTGAAAGTAAATTACTATTATTTGCTTTTGTACTTCGACAAAAATTTTATAAAGTTCTGAAATTTGACAAGAATTTTATTTTTAACTATTTTTGAAATTTTATTCTGGATTTTATACCCAAGAACATACAACATGCATTTGGCTATGAAAATTCTGTATCGGTGCTTTTTCCAAGACATTGTCTCTGCCTTTTCACTTGCCCTGACTCCTTTGTCTTACTCATAAATAATTTTAAACAGATGAATAGCTCATACAAAAGTTCAGCAGAGTTTCAATTTGACATACAAATAAATTAGTCCACTACTACTACTCTACATATAAGAAAATGAAATCCCCAAACAGAAATAATAATTTCACATTCTTTCACATCAAAGTTCTAGTGCTCTGTGGCAAACAGATTTTTTCATACTTAGGCACTTCCCAGAAATTTCTGTGAGGATGCCTATATGAACTTTGCGTGCCTCATCACAATGCAGCAGGGCTCTTCCTCACCTTTCAAGAACTCTTTAAATCAGTGTAAGAAAACTTTCTCCCCGAAAGTATCCTCTGGTCCTTTTCTCCACAGATAGATAGCATATTGCCTCAGTGGCTGTCATCAGTGATCTTTTTTTGTTACATCTGGTATGACCTCAATGCTGCGGCTGGTAATTGAAATTGTCACCTATCTAGAGATCTAGTTACCACACTATGGCAAATATTTGTCCATAATTTCCCCAATTAGCAAAGAGAATTATGGATATGCATTATGTGAATTAGTTCGCCAAAGAGAAGTTCCTTTCTAACTATGATCAGGATTAATTGTTTTCATTTTAGAAATTCTCTGGGTATTCATTAGACAGTGGAGGTTTCCTGGGCAACATTTATTAAGACAAACATTAATGCCAATGTATTCTTTAGGCTTCCCTATGTAATACTTCTAGGTTTCCATTCTGAAGTTAGATGAGATGATCTTTTACAAAACTATACCTCGCTGCCACTTCTGAAAGTTAGAAGAGAGGAAGAAAGACATAAATGATAGAAGGCAGAATATAGAAAGGCAGAGATAATATAAATCTCTAAAATACAAACAATGCACATTTGTTTCTGAAATACAAAGTGAGTTGGGTAAATAATCAATCAATAAATAAGGAAAGAAGATAGGGATTATGGAGAAAATGTGATAGTGCATGAGTATGAGTACGTACTAAGGAGTCCTTCATCCTGCTCCTGATTTAAGTTGTGTATTGATGCTGCTGACAGTGAGGTCAGACACTTGGGCTGAACAATGAACCACATTCTAGCCTCTCTCACATGGCTTTCCCAGACGCCTACGCAAACTGCCTCTTGTGTGAGTAATGTCAGAAATGCAGCAGAAATAGAAAAGTAGATGAAACGCTCAGCTAATTAAAGAAACTGGTGGCTTCTTTACCTTTGATTATATTAAATATCTAGACAATGGATAGAGATCATCAGGAAACACTTTGCTAACAAAACTCATCCACGAGCTTTATCTTACTTCCTGATCTCCAGAAATTAGATGTAGGCACTCTTCAGTTCTCACCTTGAGACATGGAATGTATATTTCTTTCCCTTTTGTCTAAGCAAGCTACATAATAACTGAGCAGCAGACCCAAGAGTGAAGTATCAGCTTTTATACCCTGATCTCTACAATTGTCAGGTTCAACTTTCTGCTTTTTGGAAATTCAATTTTTGTACATAAGCTATCGTGTTTTGAGCAAGTGCAGTCATTCTTTGAATAAGGTTATTAGTCAACTGCTTCAGTATAGCATGCAAACAATACTGTATGTGGACTAACCAAACACAAAAGTGAACAAATTAGAAATGGAAGCTTCCACCTTGGTTAAACTTTTCAAGCCTAGCCTACATAGAACACATACAAATTAACTCCATTGAATTCATGTCAAAATTGTGGATTAATATGCAAAATAAGTAATTTTTCTAATTTAAGGAATTAAAGTTCCATATAACTTGTTATGTAGCAGTACATAATGAGAATAGAATTTGGTATTAAACGTTAGGGAGCAGTTATAATCAAAGCACTTTCTATTGAGTTTGAAATTGGTGGTGTATAGAGTCTGCAAGGATTTAGTGTCTGCTATTAGGAAACGGAAAGGCCATGATAATTATGCTGCAAAGGGTTTAAAGAACAAAGAAGAAAGTACTGCAGGGTTTGGTTAAAAGTAGATATTTATTATTACCCATTGTAGTAAAGTTTGGCAGTAGTATGTAATGCCATAGCATATAAAATAGATTTTAAAAAAATAATACATGGGGCTTCCTGAGGAAATTTCTATGGAGTCAAAATAAAATACAATCCATGAGAAAATATGAGGGGGGATGTATATAGGTGATTAAGGTTTTCATTACAATTTGGAGGGAATACAAAGAATGCAGAACTTAACAAATTAGAATAAATATGTTTGAGTGTCAATTCTCAGAAGAAGAAATGCTAAAGGCAAATAACTATATTTAAAATGTTCAACATCACTAGTTATTATAGAGATGTAAATTAAAACAAAACCGAGATTCCATATCACTCCAGAAAGAATAGCTATCACCAAGAAATCAACAAATAACAAATTCTGGAGAAGCTGTCGGGAAAAAGGAACCCTTCCTTCTCCACTGTGAGTGGGAGTGTAGACTGATGCAACCATGTGGAAATCCCTCGAAAAACTAGGATTAGAGGTCCCATTTGATCCCTCTCTTCTGTTTCTTGGTATTTTCCAAGAAGAATTGAAAACACTATACCACAGTGATGTAGCAGCTGGTTTTAATAGCAAAATCTTAGAAACAATACAAATGTCCATTGCTGAGGAATGTATAAAGAAGACATGTTTTTCATGGAATACTTTCTTCTATAAAGAATGATAGATATAAGATATTTCTAGGTAAAGGAATGAAATTTGACTCCATACTCTTAAGTGGAAAAAATTGGACTCATGTGTAATTACTGCGTTGTTTCTCTGGTGTGGGAAACTGGGAGAGTAAATAAGGATAAGAATGTACACTAGATACTACATGGGAACAATGTACATGGGAACAAATTTTTCCAAAGGAAAGAAGAACTGGGTTTGGGGGAGGAGGAAAGGAATGAAGGAATTAAAAAAGGAAAAGTGATTTAGAAAAAGGGTAAAATGGCAACAAAGCTTTGAGGATATGGAGGGAAAAGAGTTGAAGGGAAAAGAGATTGGGAAAAAAGAAATCAAAATATATAATCCACAAGTACAAATTATCTTTGATAAATATGATCATTATGTATACCTAAAATGTACCAATAAACTTGATTTAAAACATAAAGCTTGTGGCAGCCTACAATCTGGCCAACATCAGTCCTGTAAACCAGGGAGAAATAGAAGAGAAGCCATGCAACCCCCTGGGTGTCAGCAGCAGCAATGCTGGCCAGGGTGAATCAGGATAGAGAACAAGGGCA